CCTCACACATTTCTGTCATCTGTTATTACCTCAACAGCTCCTGCTACCTCTTTTTCTTCCTGTCTTCTCCCTCTGTTTCACCAGCTTTGCTTCATCTGTGTCCTGCTTCCCCCATCTGTTCTGTTTTTGTTGTCTTTCTGTCCACCTGATTCACTGGCCTCTGATGCCTCGTATTTTTGAGTAACCCAAGCACGCTGCTGTTAAAACGCGCCATTGAAGTTGATCATATTCTAGCTGATGGGACTGCTAGAGCGTGGTTATAACCTCTATACATACACGCATACACACGACTGGACACACACACATCTGCAAACACAAATCACCGTCTTCCACAAGCGAGAGAGTGACTCCCGTGAAATGGTGTGGGCTAAACTGTTGATTGAGGTGAAGGAAAGAGGCATGTGGAACTTCAGTGATGATAAAAYACAAATACTGCCTATTATCCTGTAATCTGCAGAGTGCGGAAAATGTGTGAATGCTGAAAAACCTCAATGGACAATTTTAGAAAATGTAATGCATATTCGCTCCGTTTTCTTTTTCCTGTGACGGTGCTTATCTCATTCGTTAGTCACTATAGTTTATGTTTGGTCTCATCATTGATTCTGGCTCTATGCGTTGCCAGGTGCCTTTATTTAAAATCATTTTTGCTCTTACTTATGTATGTGCGTGCATCAGGATGCACACCCATAAACTAATATTGTTAAAGTATCCCCAGGAGCYCGAGGACACAGAAAATCTGAATTAGCTATTGACTTTGTTGTCCTTCGTTAGAAGAGTAAAGAATCACAGCGCTATTGATTCTTTCCCTCTTTCTGCTTTACCAGCAATTTTCTGTYCCTTGTTTCTCATCTTTTTTCTCTCTCTCTCATACTTTTTCCCACCATCATATCCATTCTTGCATTTTATGAGCCCATCATAATCATAAAGTCTTATTACTATGTCTTCAGGTTAACTTAACTATTCCATCTTTCCCCTCAGAGATTACATCTCTATTAAGATGATACATTTAGTCTCTGTGATCCATGTGCTGACTCAAGAAGTCAGAAAAGACAGTTTGTACTGATCATCCAGTACAGATGCTAAATTAAAGGGGARTTTCAAAGTGGGGTTCTGTGGCAAGGTTGAATATGTAATGACTATCTGCTKTAGAGAGCTTTTGGAATATTCTCAGATTAGAAAGATACTGTATATGTTTCAATAAAATGGTTTGTTCAAACATTACAACTACAGATCCCTGTTGTTYTTAAAACAACTCTAATCTCAAACATTTTATACATACTAAAAACTGCTGGGTTAAAAACATAAATAAATAAAAACAAATCATGGGGTTTTCAGTTTGATACAGCGTACTGATGTCATGACCTGTGTCTTCCTCAGTTTCTRTTCAGTATTTTCTCTGTTCTTGTCCCCTGTCGTCGAGAAGGGGTACTCCGTCYGTTACAATTTCAGAAAGCTGTAACTTTCGCATGGAAAAGCTAAAATACAACAAACTATGATGGTGCATTCACACCAAACAGGTTCTGTGCGTCAGGAGCGTCAGGTTTACGTGCAAAGTCTATGGCGGACGCGCGTCGGGAAGTGCTGCGGCGCGAGTTAGAAAATCTAAACTTTTGCAGCTCGCCGCAGCGCATCAACCAATCAGAGAGACTCCACGGTGTGACGTAGTGACACGTTTTCTGATGGTACCGTTTCCTGAATGATGTCCACAAACCTGAAACAGATGGAGAGGAGCTCTTTAGCTGAAATCGAGTGCCTGTAATCCTCGTCCAGGCAGGAGATGTGGGCACCGATGCGGCTCGGCGGCTCATCAAACTGAGCTCGGGACAAAAATWGTTTTGAAAGCGAGCCTCATTGGCTCGCAGCTCCTGGGTGATGAATCTCACAAAACCTGCACCAAACACAGAACGTCTCTGAATTTTCTGTTGAATTAAATATTAATTAACTTATGTCGTGAACACGACGTGCTCTTGCTCTCRGTACATAAAGCAAAGCCACTTTCTTTATTTCATCCACCATTGTACAGAGACCAGAAAAGGCTCTTGAGCAATTAAAAAGAGACAGTTAAAACATGCAGAATAGTGGGTCTCGAGAACCAGGATTGAGGACMACTATTTTAGAGTGTAGCAATTCACACATCAGCTTTTTTGAAAACAAACATTTTTATTCTGTCAGAAGTATTATTATACTCCTGCAAGAAGTGCCCCAGCCTGGKGCTGCAGCTTACTGCTGCTTCAATTTGTGCTTGGAAATAATCTTATTATTCTATATGAATTACTATGTACCGAGAAAGGACAATGTAAAAGTTTATAAAAAAAAAGTGTTTGCTGAAATTTGTTTTGAAAACTTYGAATTAGTGTTTGAAGAATAGAGCGATTCACTCTGGTCTTTGCCSTTAARGGACTAGCCATTAGCTTGTCAGTCTGGTCAGATTTAAACCTTACAACAAGCAACATATAAGTTGTTAATAAAACCTCATTTCAAATTGCTTTAACTTAATGAAGCACCTTCAGAGACATTAATGCTAAAAAATTAAAATCTATTTTCTGCTTTAGAAAACCAAACATATCAGTTTGAAACTCTTGTTGTATTTTTTATTWACTAAGTAAAAATACAGTATTTATGTCTAATCAAACTCAACAAAACCAAACCTTGTCGACATGTCCTTTATTTGTATCAAATTGAAATTTGTGTTCATATTGTAATATGTAAAGTTTATTCTACTTTTCTTTTTTTTAAAGAAAGGAAGTCATAGCGCTGCCACAAACTGTGGGTTTACACTACATGAAAGTGAGTTTTTGTGAGTTTGTCTCATCTTTCGGAGATTGGTGTGTTCAGAATGACCTGAGTGGAGGGAGGTGGAGAGAAGAGCTTCAGAACAAAAACAGAAGGGGTAAGCAGTGGGAGGTGGAGGAGGGAYTGAAACTAAGTCAGACTGTGACACAAAGAAAGACACAGAGAAAAAGTGTTAATAGTCATCGAGTGTGGGGGGAGTTTAATCCCAAGGAAAAAAGACAAGTTGTGGGAGTAGACACTGAAAGTACTTGGGCTGGAAAAGATAAAAAAGGCAGAAAAAAAATGGTGACCCTTTGAAAGAAACGCCATTTCTCCATCCTCAGGATGAAATATCTTCCCTTTGACCTTTTCAGACATTTTCAAACCCTTTCACTCACTTTCTGTCAAGCTTTTAAAAATGACTTCCCTCTGTGGCTCCCCTGCTTTAATTTAAAGCTCTTTAGCTTGTCCGTGAGATTAATATTTGTTGGCAAATTGATGCAGACGTTCAAAAACTCTGTACAGGAATTTTACAAGAGCACACTCTTGTAAAATTGTATGTTTTTAATCTCAATGAGTTTTTTTTTTCTCCAGGCAAAAAGATGATAACAATAAAAATTATATTTGACTTGATGACAGTGTTATTTTATTAGTGAAACATAATTGTGATACTAAGGTCAATCAGTTTATACTCAAAATGAGAAAGGTGCTGATGTTTTGCAGAGTCTATCCTCATGCAACTTATCAACATTCATGTTCATCATTATCATCATTATCATAACTGGAATTTGTGTATGAAAGTTACTTGCAGTATTCATTAAATGTGAGACCTATATTTTACTGCATGTATAGAGCTCAGGTATTCTTTTTGTTTCTTACCATGCAAGGCGACCATATGATCACTTTACATTTGATATAAATGGAACGCCATACATAAGAAATTCAGCGGGTGTGTAGAATTGTGCTCAGAAAATTGTATAGCCTACAGTACCTACTGTATATCAAATGTGTCTGCAACCAGGAACATGAAAGTACATCTTTGCTGCCCTCTGTTGAACGAGYTATGCAATCACATGTTGTTGAATCAGCACAGGCAAATAACTAAAAAAAATAAACTGCACAAAACTATTGTAAAAACTATAGTTCCTAAGTATTTTATTGACATGGCATGTTTTATTGTATTTTATATTTAGTCATGTTTCATTGTTTACAAGTCTGGTTTAGAAAAAGAAGCGAAGTATATTTCTGAATTTCTGGATTTCTCGCGAGACGTCAAAACCTCGCGATACTACGCGAACCTCATTCTAGTAAAACTGGAGGGATTTTTGCATAGCAGCTAAGCTAATTGTAGATGCAAGTTTTAGCTGCAAYTTACGTACTGGTGTTTGTAAGCAACAGCTCTGGGGTAAGGAGTAAGACGCTGAGAAGTGCTTCGTTTGATAATTTTACGTTTCTGAGTCGGTGGCATGTTTTGAATAGTTGTCCAAAAGGCTTCAAAATGTAACATGTTGTTTATTCATGTTGTTAGCCACAAACAAAAACAACGAGTGGTTTAAGGCGTGTGTACTTCCAGCTGTTTCTGAGCTTATGACACATTATTCCACGGCTGTTAATATTGTAACTTTATTTTTTACTTTAATAGTTAACAGCTTCAAGTTTTTAGGCTTATATGATAGACTGCAGTGTCATTAAAAGCTATTTTTGCCTCCCTCTTTGCCAACAACTGACAGCTTCAGCTACTGAATATTATTAAATCATAGGTTTTGCTCACTTATTTAATTATCTATGAAGATGCTAGTGTGGCACAGTTTGTTTACGAGTAAACTGTGGAGATTTATTAACAACATCATTATGTAGCAAATTTATTTTGAACGTACTATACAGTGATTATTCCAATGCATATGAAACTTCCATCCATCCATGATAATCTATACCCSTTTATGGGAACAACCTGGACAGGTTGCAAGTCCWTCACAGGCATATGAAACTCATAWTCAAAATCAAGTAATGGAGTGAAAAAACTAGAAATTATACAAGTGGCAGYATAGTTTCTTATTCTTATTTTATTGGCTGCTGATATTTATGCACTATCAGTCAAGCATGACTTAAATTTAGGGTTTYCTATATAAATGCCGGCACTAGAATAAAAAGGAAAAGAAGTTTAGTTTTTTTTTTCTTAAGCTTGCATTTCTGTACTCTTGCTTACACTATGAACCTTTTTGTTACAGTAACACCAGTGGCCTTCAAAATGGATTTAGAAGATGATACCACCGTGTTAACAACTTTGAAGTCCTTTAATACCTTCATCAGTCGACCTGAACGTCCACAGCGTCTGTCGGACCTTTCGGCAGGGAGTGGGTTCCTGCAGAGTCAGTACAAATGCAGCATGGAGGTATAAGGAGGGGAAAAAAAAAACATTGCTAGGGCTGCACAACATATCGCACATTTATTGTCATCGCAATATCCCGTGCAATAGGCCTATCGCGAAGGTTGGCTTAAATGTTTTGCATTTATGCATTTTGTCAGCATCAGTCTGATAAACAAARTAGACCTGAGATACAGTCTGTGTACATCAAATCTTAACCACAGTGAAGGTTAAGTGAAATGTTGGACAACTGCAATGAGATGGTTTATGATTGGATTTAAATTTAACTTTTATTTAAATTTATTTTACTTATTTTCAGATGTTTTTATTATTTATTAAAAAAAATTATAGTAAGAGGCATTTAGAGCATCAGAAAATGTTTGGTGGAGACAATATTTTAAAGTCATTAAGAAACTAGTAGTTTCTTTTATTTATTATTTTGCTCTGAACATTGCAGGTTTTCMTGATATCGGGCAGCCCTAGCTATTACGATTACCACTACAATCAAGCTATGCAAAATAATATCTACTGTATGCTTTGACTAATTTGTCTTTCTTTTAGTTGTTAGAAGCAGCAGAGAGGGTTAACACTCAGCACCGATACCTACAATTAGAYCAAGAGAAGAAACAGATGGAGCTGAGTCACAAACGAGCTCGTTTTGAACTAGAGAAAGCGGCCTCTGACAGTGCACGAGACCTGGAGGTACAGAACATCTACATTTATTTACATATGCTTTTACAGCAATTTAAGATGATGCATTTCTATGTTTGCTACTTACTCATTTATTAACGTTTTAGCATGAAGTGGATCGGAACCAAGAACTTTTTGGACAAATAAGAAAGTTGGAGGAGAGGGAGACCGAAGCGACAAAAACCTTGTCAGAGCAGGTGGAGGCCAACCAGGTGCTCCGTAAGAACCTGGAAGGTCTTAACAAGAAACTGGAGGAGCAAGATACTAAACTGAATGCAGCCAACCAGGTGCACACTCACAGATACAGGCTTGAATTATCCCTCTGGTTATTTTTTCGCCTTACCTTGTCTCTTAATCCTGTTTCTAGACCATCACGTCTTTGAAGGATGAGATCAGAGAGCTGAAGCAGAAGATTCAGAACCAAGACTCGACCGTTTCTGCCCAAACACTGGAAAACCAGGAACTGCAGGAGCAGCTTGATTTACAGCGCAGGTGCAGAGACGTGTGGAGAGACTATTTGATGTTAATGTAGCTCGAGTTTTATTGAATACCCAAAAATAATGCTAACTGTGCACATAATTTGATTGGTATTTGTATCAGGAAGTATCAGGAAGTCTCTCAACTTTACCAAAGTCTCCAGGCTACTCACTCTGCCTGCTCAGAGCATGTGATCAAGATTAAGGTATGTTGCATGAATATTCTGCTTCTGTCTTCTCTTTGATCTCGCTTCACAGAGTTTGTGCTGCGGAGGACCCAATTCCTCATCTATTGTCATTCTCAGTTAATTGGGACACTGTAATCCCAAATAAATTCAAAAACTGTTTTGAATTGAGTAAGCTTCTTAGATCAAAAATAAAATAGCTTTAATAATCCAAAAATAAGTCCAGTTGTCTTTGATTTAATTGATTTGGAATGAATGAATTCAAAGAATGGAGCTCAAAGAATGAGCTTCCAGTTTTCCACAAGTAAAGATGCAGAATGCACCAATCAAACCCCACCTTGAATAAAACTGGAAAAAAGATGTCTGTTATGACCAATTCGTGATTTTTGTTAATCAGTCTTACTGTGTAATATTGCCAAATGTAAATAAATATAAATGTTGCACGTCTGAGCATTCATACCATCTGCTTTATTCTCTGTTTTCGTCTGTGGAAAACAAACAACTGAAAGATCTTGGAAGAATATGGTTTTTGTTTCTAACAAATGTTTCCCAGTCACCCCTACTTCTCATAAACTGTGTAGATTAACTTATCTTCAAAAGTAAACAGAAGCACATGCTTTTTCAGTGTTCCAAACAAAATGTCRGTGTCTGATTTAGCTGACGTCCCACTTGTTTGTTTCGGCAGGACTTGGAGAGGCGCCTGGCCCTTCAGGAACAAGACATGGTGATTGTGAAGAGTGTGAAGTCAGAGGTGGCCAAAGTTCCAGATATGGAGAAAGAAATAAAGTTCCTCAGAGATGACAATACTTTCCTCAGGTCTAACACACCTCTCAAGTTCTTACTTCCATGTGTTACGTGTCAAAGACCGGGCTTGTGTTATTTTAGGAGTTTTTGAACTTTACACCATATGTTCAGGCTTATATTTGGCATCGCACATAGTCTGGTGCCTGCRATGCCACCCAGGCATCACAACAGATAAGGTGTGGGAACAATAGAATATTTGTCTGATTAAAAAGGCAGAAATAGAAGTGTTGCGTGTTTACATGCACTTACAGCTCTATTTAGGATGTTGTTATAGAATCATGAGTTTAATTTCTCAAGACAGTAGTTCAGATATTTTGCCCAGTAACATTTTGTATCATTAGGTTTAAGTTAATAAGTTTTAATAAGGCTGATGTGGATTAAAAGGAGCTGAACAAGAGAAGTAACACCTGCAGTTATTTATAGCATTTGCTAGCTAGCTGTCWCTTGTATAAATGGAATATGTTCTGGTGTGAAATACTTTTGTACAATCTTAGTGTACGATGGTGCAAAACATCTGACCTCGTCTCAGAGATCAGTCAGGTCTAATCTGTGTTTTTGCAGTCCAGTTAATGAAGCACTAAGTAATGCATTCAAGCTTTTGTAACCTAAAGAGGTGGAGATGTATACAACTAAACCCATCTGAATTAAACTGGTTTTAAAATTGAACCATAGTTGGAAGATAGAAAAACACGAAGGTATGCAATTCATGCATTTAACGTGGCTTTTTGTCTTTACTCCATTTAGGCAGAGTAGAGAGAACTGCAGCCTGTTGAAGGAGGAGGTGGAGGGATTAAGGAAGAAATTGGAGAGGATGGCAAAAACGAAAGAAGAACTGGTCAATATGGAACTGGAGAAAGAGGTAAACTGTTGTTAAAACAAAAAAATCAAGGCTGAAAGGAAATATATGAATACAAGAGCAAAAAACACAACTAAATGGGAATAATTTTTGACCATCAGCCAGCACTGCTTTAAAAACATTTAATACTCTAAAAATCATAAAAAAGTATCATTTTTATATAATTTGTCTTAACATTACAAAGTGCTTTACATAAAGAAAAGCAGTGATTTTGGTTAGATAGATGTTTACAAGACTACTGTTGTAAAGGAGTGAAGTAAATACGAAGAGGTAAGTTTTAGTAAGGCGTTTGAAAGTAAAGAGATTTGATGTGTCTGAATTCAATGAGCAAATCACTATAAAATGGTGGCTTTAATGGAAAAGATCTGACCTCATTTTATCACAAACATGACCTGGGAGTATTTAGAAGTGCTTTATCAGCAGATCTTAGTGGYTAAAAGATGTGTTTAGGGTCAAGACCATTTAAAGCTATAAAACTGAGCCRTAGGGATTTAAAATCAATACAAAATGTAACAAGGTGCTCGTGCAAGGAGACAAACAAATGAGGACGGGTTATTTTTTTGTCTTTTTCCATACATATAATGAGACTAACTGCAGTGAATCAACTCACATTTTTCAAAAAACAAATACGATTCAATCTCCTTTGTTTCTTAGTGGTCAACAAATATATTATTTTCAGCATTTAAAATGCCATCTTGTTCTGTCTTAATACATGATGAGAAAGTGTTTTGATTCTGTGCTTCTATTTGCATTTTGAATTTAATTATTTCTTTCAGTGAGGTTCTAATTGCTTTTATTTAACATGTTTATTTTATATTTTTAGACTTAAACTATACTGTATATCTTTGCCTCTTTCATAGAGGCTTGCTGAGAAGCTACAGGCCTGGGAGAACCTTGGACAATCTACTGGACTCAACATAAGGTCAGTCATTTGAAAATCTAACTGATGGCGTTGAAAAAACGCATTGGCTTTATTTTTGCTAGTGATATTTAGTGAAATACAAAAAATAATAATAACATCCACTAGGTGGTGCTTTGGTCATTTCTTATAAAGGTGCCTCAACATTTGAGAATCCATTCCTTCAGTGTGTAAGGTTATGTTTTTTTCCACCTGCTTGTGTGTATCAAATTTGTAGTTCAGTTAAATTGTTAATATGAGAGCAGATGCATGTTTTCGTGAGTGCTGAAGAGGTTCTGACAAGTTGAAAACATTGCAAAAAATAATGTGGCTCACACACATGCATGCACTTAATAATAATATTTTTTTAACATTTTTTTAAAATGTATGTTTTGTAATCAACTCCAAATATGGTAGAACACATCTACACACTTTATCAACTTTTTATTTTTTATTTTATTTTATGTTTTTATCATTTTTCACTGAGCATGTATACCACAGGTGTTACACATTCCTTTTGGGCAAAAAGGTAGATGCCAGCACATGATGAAGTAGAAAATAAAGTGAAACCTCTCTACCCTGGGAACAAGTCATTCGGAGACCTCATGTTTCATTTGCTCTGGCAGAAAGCATCTGGTCTGCCTCATGTTTTTTCCATCTGACTTTGCCCTGGTCAGACCAACCTTATTGGTTTATCTAATATAAGAGAAAGGTTTGAAATGCTGAGCCTGCTTGGAGGGGCACCACTGAGGCATGTTGCTTGGCACATTCTCTTGCATTTTGCTGCTTTTGATTTGTTATACCCAGAGTCTTGTCTGGTTTTTTTGCCTCTTCACATTAGGACATTTGGATGAGGATGCTAGGACAAAAGTTTTTTTTTTCCCTTCCAAGTTTTTGTTTTGTAAAGATTAAAGGACATGACATATTTTTAGATTTATCTAAATAAAGACCACTAGGGTTGGGCAATATTGGCAAAAAAATGAAACATGATTAATTTTGGTATTTAGCTGATAACGATTACTTTGACGATTAATCCCCTGGAGTCCCTGGACACCCTTATGTCCTGGTCACAAGACCAATTTAGTGGGGAAGATTTGCTCTTCGTAAAAATCTGTTCCAAATTGTGTCAAAATTACAGACTTCAGGCTATACATCAAATTTAAATTGTGTTGATGGATAAATACATTACAGACATTTTTTAAAAATATTCGTCATATTTGAAGCGGAGAGGAGCACACCGTCTTTCTTTATTAAATCTGAAAGTCGTTTCAAAGTCAGATGTTTATGTTACAGTGGGGAAAATAAGTATTTAGTCAGTCACCAATTGTGCAAGTTCTCCCACTTAAAAAGATGAGAGAGGCCTGTAATTGACATCATAGGTACAGTGGGGAAAATAAGTATTTAGTCAGTCACCAATTGTGCAAGTTCTCCCACTTAAAAAGATGAGAGAGGCCTGTAATTGACATCATAGGTAGACCTCAACTATGAGAGACAAAATGTGAAAAAAAAATTGAGAAAATCATTTTGTCTGACTTTTAAAGAATTTTTTTGCAAATAATGGTGGAAAATAAGTATTTGGTCAATAACAAAAGTTCATCTCAATACTTTGTTGTATATCCTTTGTTGGCAATGACAGAGGTCAAACGTTTTCTGTAAGTCTTCACAAGGTTGGCACACACTGTTGCTGGTATGTTGGCCCATTCCTCCATGCAGATCTCTAGAGCAGTGATGTTTTGGGGCTGTCGGCGGGCAACACGGACTTTCAACTCCCTCCAAAGGTTTTCGATGGGGTTGAGATCGGGAGACTGGCTAGGCCACTCCAGGACTTTGAAATGTTTCTTACGAAGCCACTCCTTTGTTGCCCTGGCAGTGTGCTTGGGATCATTGTCATGCTGAAAGACCCAGCCACGTTTCATCTTCATTGCCCTTGCTGATGGAAGGAGGTTTGCACCCAAAATCTCACAATACATGGCCCCATTCATTCTTTCATGTACACGGACCAGTTGTCCTGGTCCCTTTGCAGAGAAACAGCCCCAAAGCATGATGTTGCCACCCCCATGCTTCACAGTTGGTATGGTGTTCTTTGGATGCAACTCCGCATTCACTTTCCTCCAAACACGACGAGTTGTGTTTTTACCAAATAGTTCTACTTTGGTTTCATCTGACCATATGACATTCTCCCAATACTCTTCTGGAACATCCAAATGCTCTCTAGCAAACTTCAGACGTGCCTGGATATGGACTGGCTTAAGCAGGGGGACACGTCTGGCACTGCAAGATCTGAGTCCCTGGCGTTGTAGTGTGTTGCTGATGGTAGCCTTTGTAACATTGGTCCCAGCTTTCTGCAGGTCATTCACTAGATCCCCCCTTGTGGTTCTGGGATTTTTCCTCACCGTTCTTGTGATCATTTTGACCCCACGGGCTGAGATCTTGCGTGGAGCCCCAGATCGAGGGAGCTTAGTAGTGGTCTTGTATGTCTTCCATTTTCTGATTATCGCTCCCACAGTAGATTTCTTCACACCAAGCTGCTTGCCTATTGCAGATTCAGTCTTCCCAGCCTGGTGCAGGTCTACAATTCGGTTTCTGGTGTCCTCCGACAGCTCTTTCGTCTTCACCATAGTGGAGTTTGGAGTGTGACTGTTTGAGGTTGTGGGCAGGTGTCTTTTATACTGTTAACGACTTCAAACAGGTGCCATTAATACAGGTAATGAGTGGGGGAAAGAGGAGCCTCTTAAAAAAGAAGTTACAGGTCTGTGACAGCCAGAAATCTTGCTTGTTTGTAGGTGACCAAATACTTATTTTCCACCATTATTTGCAAAAAAAATCTTTAAAAGTCAGACAAAATGATTTTCTCAAATTTTTTTTTCACATTTTGTCTCTCATAGTTGAGGTCTACCTATGATGTCAATTACAGGCCTCTCTCATCTTTTTAAGTGGGAGAACTTGCACAATTGGTGACTGACTAAATACTTATTTTCCCCACTGTATTTACTGCCTGAGTGCAGTTCATTTAAACCAAAACTACAACAGCAACCAAAAAAGTACAATCCAAGAAATCTGCTAGATTCCATTTGCTTGAAATACTAATCCAGAGTAAATTACCAATTAGAAACCCCTTTAAGCTGTTTAGTAAATGTTCACATTATTTGTGGTCACGGTTTCTTTTGGTAAACAGAGAAAAGTGTGTTTCAATCAGCAGTTTGTTTATCTTTATTGCACTCTGAGGACCAATGCTGTGTGAAAATGAGTATTGACATGGATTTCTGCTCTCGCAGGCTTTAAAACTTATTGCCTCATGATTTCAGTGTACCGACACTTTGTCAKCCACAAATTGTTTTTCTCAAAGTTTTTACAAGAATGCTTAAGTATGATGAAGTTAAACTGAACACTTGTTTGCTGCTCATAAACGACAAGCAAGTTTAATGAAAATTAATTGTGATAAAAGATGTGATATCTCAAGACTTATTTGTAGGAATTAATGTTGACTTCAGATCAAATCTGCCTGGTTATAGTGCTTTGTGAGCTGTCATTAACTGTGAATCTCATTGTGGCTGTGGCATTCTGTACAGTAGTGCATATTCATATCGATCTGTTCATTATTTTGCTATGGTTACAGGATCCTTGTACCTAACTGAAGCTCCTATGGTTTTGTTTGTGAGATGTAGACGCTCGATAATTGATTTTTGCAGATAATCGATATGCCGATATTGTTCAACATTTAATTTACGATTCTGATATTAACTGATATTACAAAACTGATATTAAAGGGGCAATATCATGTAAAATCAACGTTTGTGAGTTTTATATCATGTTATAATGTTATACTCTCATAAAAAAACAAGCTCAAAGCCTTGCTTTGACTCATTCATGCATGTTTGAGAAATCCTGCAGCGCTTTTATGAAGCCATGCTGAGGAGCAAAACAACAGGTGGGGACCAGAAACGCCTTTTGGGACCAGAAGCGCCCCTGGGATGTGTCTTTAAGCCGAACTTYATGGCAGAGCACCCCCCACCCCCTCCCCACACACCTCGCCCATGACTCCTGCAGGCTCTCGGGTGAAACCAAAAGTGAAACCTAACTGTCTGCTGAACTCTTAACATTAGTTGTCACTCAGTGAAGCTCTTTTCAGATTAAAAATACCTTTGATGAAATGTATTTTCAGATGCCAMGTAAACTGCATCATGGAAACATTGTCTGTAGAAAATAAAAACCATTTCACTGAAGTTATGGAAAAAGTGCATATTTATTTTTAATATTTTGTCTCAAACAATAGTGTGGATCATGCTCTCCCTGAGATAATCCAGTTTGATGATGTCATCAATTGCGTGCTGGTGAACGTCTATGGACCACAAGCATTTATTAACACATTTTGGTCAAATCCAGGAATCAATTTATTTGGCTTATCAGAAGAAAAATCAATACCGATATGTAGAGATTTTCCATTTTTATGCTAATATCAGACCGATAATATCTGTAGGCAGATATTATCGGACATCCCTAGTGTTTTGCATACTTTCACATTAGAACCACATCTGTGCCATCTAAAATGATGAGCAGAAAATGTGTGCAAGTAGAAACATGTTTCAATAATAATATTTGCCTTCTACTAAAATTTGTGTTTTAAAATTGACCAGTTTGGGTCCAGATAAAGCTTTGTTTGGATTCAGATTCAGACCACGATCCTTCATTTAGAGACCCCTGGTTTCRTTGTTTAACCAGCCACTTTGCCTGTTTTTCATGAAAGCGTAATTTTTGAACTGAAGATTCAATCAATGTGGCTGCCTGGTAAAGCAGAAAAATCGAAAAGCCACAGCTTGAAGTCACCAACAGCTCTCAGGTTTGAACTAGTCATTATYGTTTTTTTTACCCCATTGTTTGTTATGACAACAATTTATCAGCTTGTGTTTGACAATTAAAAATCTATTTTTCAGAACTTAAAAATGATGATAATTTCTTACAATTAGGCTGTGTGCAAGTACCTGTAATCATATTATGGGGAATTGTTTGTAGAAATATACAGTATTTTCAAACAGGAAGCAAAGGTGGTTTGTGTGTTTCAGATTGTTCATTTTCACAGAATAATTTTAGTTTCAAATTGGTGTTTTGGGTCATACTAGATAGTTTATAATATTATGTGTTGATGTTTGTGTGTGTTGTAAGTGCAGCTGTTTTTGAACTTACAAATGTCATCCTCATGCTTGATCCTCATGCATCTTTAATGTTTATTCTTTTTTTTCCTTCTGGTAGAAAAATACTGAACATCATCATAGATAACAAAATGTTATTCTTGTTGAACGTAAAAGTCTTGTCTCAACAGAAACCATATCAAATTATTTGAAAACTCATTTGAGTAATTGTGTAAATAATAATTTTCTGACTTTTTACCCATTACAGTTATTTGCTGTCTTGTATCTGGTGCAGTGGGAATATGAATATTTCAGGGAACATAAAAATTGTATGTAACATGAGGTTTTCTCAAAGTTTGCTCCAAGCTTCAGTTTTGGGGAAAAACATCATTGTGTATCTGAAAAAACATGAACTGTGGGAAACGCAGTTTGTCCTGGTTGTTAAATGTTTTATAAAATGTAGCTCACAAGATTTAAACCCCACTGTAAAATAAACCATGTTTTCTTTTTTTTCCCCATTTACTAAAGGGACAGATTTAAAATAGCCTCACAACCAATTGTCATTTCTTGGCAGTTTATTTACTTTTGAAACATCTCGTTGTTATTCACATCTCACTCAATAGGGATTATTAGATATTATGCAACCAAACTGAGATTTTTACATTACCAAAGTTGACTGACTCTAAAGGAGGACAATAAACCCAAGAAAATCTCTGTGTTCAGAAAAGTTTTGAATAACATGTTATACTTTTTAAAGTTATTGAATGTTCTGAAATGTATTTTTTTAGTGAGATTATTTTTATCTCAAACTAACTAAAGTTTATAGGAGCGGTATTAAATTATCATAGGCTGGCTTTTTACACTCTTTTGTTTCCAAACTTAAAATGAAATTTGATTGCTCAGCTTTTTTCCTTCCATTTGTTTGCCCCATTTATTATGTGCCTTGGAAGACTGCCTTAGTTTGAAGTACATCTCAAAGGTCAGGTCTCATGCTGATACTGTCTATCTTTAGTGAAAGCTTTGGTTGTATGCTTACTAATTATTGCAAGGAAAAGTAATAATTTATATTTTTCTGCCCTTTACTGAATATTATTGCACAGTAAAACAAAAATAATTTCATCCCATTCTGTCTAAAAAGAGCTTTCTTCAACTTAAACCTAATCAACTTATGCAACATTTTCAACAGAGAAAAGTAAAGATAAATATAGTCAATAATCAATGTATACACACACACACACACACACACACACACACACACACACACAC